TGAAGTGCCCACCATAGATGCTAAATAATTGTAGAATGGCTGAATGAATGAATGAATGATGGAATTTTTATTTTCATTGGTAGGGCTTGGTGGGTGGCCTCCACAGGAAGTGATTGGGCAGGGATCTACTTATTTTGATGGGGAAACCCCTAAATGTCAATGGCTGTAAGCCTTTCTCTTAGAAAGTGAGTTCCCATCCCTCACCCTATGAATCCTTCAGTCTCCTGCCTAAACGATAAGAGTTTGACTACTAGCATTTTGGAAGCTCGGCCCACGAAGGTGGCTGAATGTTTTCAGTGTGCAGTATGCAAACTTTTAATTAATTTCCCTTTGTTTAATGAGGTTCATTCATTCATTCACTTGACAAATATTTACCAAGTGACTATTAAATACCAGACACTGTTCTAGATACTTGAGATTCATCAGTGAAAAAAACAGACTAAAATCTCTATTTTTTGGAGCTTATATTCAGCTATGACAGGTGTTCTTGGATCCAGAGATACCCTGTCCAGAAAATAAAGCTCCTGTTTTCCACTAGGTGTGGGGAGGGGCAGTTTCTTGGTTGAGCTCTGGAGTTATAACTACTCCTTCCATGCACTTTCAGTAGGGTTACTAAATCAGGCAATTCTAACTTTCAGCCAGTCCTTGTGTCTTCAGCCCCCCCCCCACTCCTCAAATGTCATTCTATCCACTCACTCTGTCCTCCAGAGGTACCTGGCCCTGGTGCCTTCAAGTTTGCAGCTTCCCCAGGGGTAGTAACACAAAAACAGCTTCCTTCTTTTTTCACTTGGTTCTGCTGAAGTCAGTTAAGGCTCAGGTATCCTCATTCAGCTTCCTAAATGTGATTTTCTCCTCCTTTCTCTTTGTACTGGAAAGTTTATGTGTCTTTCATTCCTTTATTATAATCTTAGAAAGTAGGTAACTACCTACATTAATTTCAGCCAAACCTGAGCATCACCTCCAGTGTAATCTTCCTTAAACACATCAGATTTTGAAGAATATATCCATTGAGCATCTATTCTGTGCAGGGCATATACTGAGATTCTGGACGGTGTTTGTGTTTCCATTCTTAGGATGCCTCGGAGAGATTCAGTCCTCTGGTAACACCCCTGTAACTCCCCAACACACACACACACAATAAGCATTGGGTTCAGCCTTCCTATCTTACTATCTGGGTAGCCAGGGAAAATATAGAGGCCCCTGGTTCTTACATCTTACTCCAGGCCAGCCGTTGGTGAGAAGGATCTCAGCTGTTCATCTGGTTTTTCACCTGTCCCCGTACCGGGGTCTGGACTAAACTGCCGGAGCTCATCCCATCAGTTCCCTCACGCCTTACTGAAATTCCTGGGACATTCTCCTGACTTTGAGAATTACCATTGCCTGGAATTTACTGCAGCCAGGAAAAGAGGTGGAGAACAGATTAAAAATTAAGAATTAAGATTAATATTTAATTGAGTTGATTAATATAATATTGTAAATTAATATACTTCAATTTTTTTAAAAGAATTAAGATTAAAATACAGCCATTAGAGTCTTGAGTTTAACTTCTGCTCTTAAACACCATTTATTTATTAATAAATACTTGGGAATAAATAGTTGAACTTTCCTCATTGAGTTCCCATGAAAATTAAATGAGATATGCATGGAAAGGGCTTAGCATAAGGCCCAGGACCCAGTAATAAATGAAATGCAAAGAAAAGTTCAGCTTCCCTAGCCCTTCAGATTGGTCCATGTGGCTATTAACGCCAAGTTTGAATCAGGCCAGAATCTATTGTATTCTAATGACTATCAATTCTAATAAAGATATAAATCTTCTTGGTTTCTCCTGGAAGGGGCCCACATATCCCTTCCATACATGAGTTGCTCCCTACAACTTAGTTCAGATCTCCCACATCATCTGGGTGGCCCAGAATATCTCAGCCCTTTCAATTGGATTAAAGAGATCCCAGAATGCTAATGCCTTCAGGTTCCTGGAAAAATCAAACAAAAATCATTTCTGGAGAGGAAAAAAACCCACATTTTTTAAGCCTAAAATCATTTCTACAAACAAATGTTCAAATACGATTTTGGATACTATCAAAGAAAGCCAGGCACAGACTGAGATAACGTGAATAAGAATCAGAAAAACCAGTAGGAAATAGATACAGAATTACATGGTCTCCAGATATTGGCACTGATCAGGCTTTAAAATAATTATCTTCTTGTGTTACAGGAAATAAAATACAGGATTGAAAATCTCAGCAGAGAACTGGAAATAATTTTTTAAAGACATAGCAGAATTGAAAAAGAACCACTAAAAGTCCTAGAACTAAAACTACAATAACTGAAATTAAGAACACAATGGATGGATTTTTATCAGACTATACCTTGCTAAAGAGAGAAATATAGAACTTAAAAAATGAGTCAGAAGATCTCCAGAATAACAAAGACAGAGGCAAAAGCCTGGAAAATACAGAGGAGATGGTCAGAGTCCTACCCACAGTCCAGCACCCATTTAACTGGACTCTCAGGAAAAGCATAGAGAGAGAAGGGAGAAAAGCAGTATAACAAGAGAGAATGGCTGAAAATTTTCCAAAATTTATTTTCAGTCTGGGGCTCAAGACATTGAGCCCCAGACTGAAAATAAAATTAAACGAACTTGGCAGGGAAGAGAGAAAGGGCTACTTTTTAAAAAGAGTTTACTCCAAGATTTCTAGCTCCAGCAAAAGGGTGATATGATTAACTGAGATAAGAAACAGGGAAGGAAGGCTAGGTTTGTTGGGCTCAGAAGGAGTCAGTGTGAAATAGAAATAGTAGATAATTTTTACCTGTTAAATTTAACACCCAGGCAGGGATAACAAATGTGTCATTATTTCTTGAATAATTACTATATTTCTTGTTATGCTCATGTTCCAAAACATGTTCCTGTTCCTTTTTTTTATTCTTTAAAAAGGATGAAACTTTCTTGTCTCAAGAATCCAGCATCCTCAGGCTTCCTTCCCTTCTTGCTAGAATCCATGGTTTGCCTCTAAGAGCTGATCTACGAATGGATATTTGCAGCCAAATGTACAATAACTTGCAAAGTACATATGCCTGATGTTCAAATGTAATTATATGTTCATCGCAACCTTCACGAAACCCATCACAACAAAATAATGTGTTTTCTAGTTTTCAACACCATGGACCCCATTTTTTTAATACTATAAGGGCAAGTGACAGGCACCCTGTCAAAAGTGCTTTGATTTATCGAAATGTGGAATTTCTACATATGACCCTGACGTCAAATATGGAGTAAATATAACTTTGTGTCACAATCTACAACATTACCTTAAGGATTACCATGAGTTTTTAAAATAGTTATTTGACTTCATTAACAGAAGAAAAAATAAAACACTGACTACCATAAATTTCTCAATTTTTTTTTTTTTTTTTTTTTACTTAGAAAACAACACGACCTTCACAATAAATCCTGTGACTAATGGGTGAAAATGACATAGCATGCTTTCTTTTCAACTGCAAGGTTCCCAAAAAGGTTAAAAGATAATAATGATGATGATAACTAATGTTTATTGAGCATTTTCTACATGACAGGAACTGTTCAAAGGAACTTACATGGTTTCACTCATTAAAGAGATTTAAAGATATATAACATAAATGATATACTGATGACATAAATAATACTATTTAATGGAAAATCAGGCTTTTTTTCAAATTAATTCTTTTTACAAAATACACTACAATTCTGCTGATACAGTTAGGGACCAGAAATATATATATATGAGAGAAATTAGGAGAAAAAAAACCACTTTACAGTAACAAACTACAAGTAAATCTATAACTTTTCCTGCAATATTATATTTTTCTTCTGAAAGTAGAAATAAAATTTTCAAAAACAATGAACAGGGAAATAATGTTATTTGCAAACAACCTTTTACATGCCAACATTAAGTTTTAAAATATCATTAAATTTTAAAATATATTTAGAGAGTATCCATGTTATTGCCTTATGCAAAGATTAATTTTTCAACACTATGGATCTAGTTGTCCCAGATGTTTACATTGTAGTATTTCACTGTTTAACTAATGCTGTATTATTGTGGTTTCATTGAATATCATTCCAAGTAGAGTCATTAGGAATACTTCAATCATAATTTTGTATAATTTGATCAAATTTCCTAATATCACCAGCAGAAATGGCTAAAGACATACATTTTTTAAAACAGAGGACTCTTCTAAGAGAATTTTACCTAATAAAATGCATGAACCAACTTCTTAAATTAGTAAACGTCTTAAAGATTTACAAGTAATTTGGGACGTTATTTAACCACATTCTTGATATTATGAAGGGTTGAAATTTAGTTCTTCTCAGCCATTCTGACCATCAGATTCCTGGAAATTTGCTGTGTTGCTTAGCTTTTTATTTTTCTTTGTTTAACCTATTTGAATCTCTCGTATAGTCTGTAACCCTTATTATTTAGAAAAACTATGGATTCATAGAATCATTTGGCTCTTCAGACCACCTAGGACCCCAAACAAAGGTCTTTGAACCCAGTCTCTCACACAATATTTGAATGCTCTCTGCCACATCAACCCAAATGTTTTCCATCCCCCATGCCTGCCAAAATAGAGAATTATCCACATGACAACCCACTCCATTTTCAGTTTTCATTATTAAAAATGTCTTCTCTAATCTGAAGTGAAACGTTCTTCTCCAGAACTGCCACCTACTTTGGATTCCACCAATCTCAGCACTGTCCGTGGCAGGATGACCTTGGGCAAGTCAATCTCCTGTTGCTTTCATTGCCTTAGTTGTAAAATGGGGATAAAAAATGTATGTCAGGGCTTCCCTGGTGGCGCAGTGGTTGAGAGTCCGCCTGCTGATGCAGGGGACATGGGTTCGTGCCCCGGTCCGGGAAGATCCCACATGCCGTGGAGCGGCTGGGCCCGTGAGCCATGGCCGCTGGGCCTGCACGTCCAGAGCCTGTGCTCCGCAACGGGAGAGGCCACAACAGTGAGAGGCCCGTGTACCGCAAAAAAAAAAAAAAAAAATGTATGTCATAGTGGTGTGGAGATTAAATGAGAATGTTATAAAGTACCTGGCACAATACAGGGCCTTTGTAAGCCGTGGCCTTTATTAGGAATAGGAAACCCTCCTCTGCATGGCTGCTCTCAGAAATGTAGTGGCAACTATTGTTTTCTCTCCTCCAGGCCAAATATTCCCATTGCCTTCCATTTTTCTTTGAAAAACATGGTATTGTCTTTCTTATATTTCTAGTCATTTTTTCCTGAATAAGTTTAGTTCTTAGAGAGAAGAGTCAACTGCCAATCAAAAACATTATAGCCACCCATTTTATCAACTTAGAGCAGGTTGTCATTGCAAGAAAATATCTATCTTTCCCCTATTGCTAGGTAAACCTCCTCTCCCCTCCCCCACATCCAGTGTCCCTAGAGTTGACCCTCTGGCAATAGAAAGCAATAGGTATGGATACTTTCTGGTTCTAAAGTGAGGAGGAGCCAGAAGTGCCCCTCAGACATTAGGATGTATCTGAGAAGTTTCCGTCTTCATTCTGGTAGGATGCCGGCTCTTCCTCATCAAGAGTCACTCCTCTCTGTCCGCTCCATTCCTTCCTCTGGGCTTCACAATTCTGGGTGGTGGCTCCATACGACATCTTCTTTTTGGGACTTGTGAAACTCTCATGGTTGAGTTCTATCTCCTCGGCTAATTCATCGCTGTCAATGATTCCGCACTTCTCCTCAGAAAGGTTCTCAGGGTCAGCCCACTCCTGTTTCTCCCCAGAAGCAAAGACCCCATAGAAGATCACGCCACTGTAGTGCACCAGGGCAGCTATGAGGAACACATTCTGCCATTCCTCACGGGTCTAAACAAGGAAACACGGTACCAATTAATATTTGAACCAAAAACAGAGATTAACAGTATCTTCTGGAGGTCTCCACTGGGACAAAAGCACTTGGTCACCCCAAAGGCAAATGCTGTGCTTCTCCGGAAGACATGTGGCAGAAGCATGCCCAGGACCCAAATGGAATTTGAGTGTTTAAAAATGAAAGTTAAGGGGCTTCCCTGGTGGCGCAGTGGTTGAGAGTCCACCTGCCGATGCAGCGGATGCGGGTTCGTGCCCCGGTCCGGGAAGATCCCACATGCCGCGGAGCGGCTGGGCCCGTGAGCCATGGCCGCTGAGCCTGCGCGTACGGAGCCTGTGCTCCGCAACGGAAGAGGCCACAGCAGTGAGAGGCCCGCGTACCACAAAATAAATAAATAAATAAAACATGAAAGTTAAGACTACAATGAATATGCATTTTTTTAATTTAGAAAACTATTTACAAAATAAACATCCTGTAAATTCCTTGCTGCACCACTTCACAGCTCTTCTAAATATACAAGTGAGGTTTCCACTCACATAATAAGTTAAATTAAACTTGCTTTAGGAACCCACCGTTGTAAATATCAGAGGTCTCCCTCTTGCTTTGGATACATGACAATTTGAGCCATGAAAATGCTCAGTATTGACTGTCAATAGCTTAATTATAATCATAATTTCTATGAAAATATACTGTATCAAAAATAACGGGAATTTGTGTTTAAAGTTAGGAGCAGACAGTATCTGAGATTTAATGATCACACTACCAATCCTTTCATCTCATGAACAGACAAAGCGCGGATCCTCTGCCTATAAAATCCCCAAAGACCACCTTCCTTTTCTATCAAAAGATAAGAAAAGTTATCCCACACTTTCCTCTCCAAGAAGCTGGGAGAATTTCTGAAGTCATATTTGCAATAGGCAATCCAACAACAAAAAATTGTTGGGTAAAAACTCCATAGTATCAAAAAATGTTTATTTGCAGAAAGCAGCATCTAAAACCCTTTCAAAGACAGGGATTAAGGAACCATGTGGCCTGTGGCTGAACTCTGGATGGATCTGGGATCTTCCTGTGCCACCCACCCTAGTCTAAATACACAAATATTCAGTAACGACTTAGTGCCACACCCGCTTAGGTTCTTAGGAAGGGTCATTAATGTCTTGTTTATTTTCTTCATCATAAGGAAGTATAACTGCACTAATATTTTCATGCTGGAACATGCTAAATGGAAATGGGCTGTAAAGTTTAGTTACTTATGATTATAAAGCAATCAGGTAATTTATTTATCCTGAGTTGATTACCTCAGTTTCTTCTTTGTATCTCTAAACAGTCTACGGTATTAACACCTCCCCTCCACACACACACACAGACCCCTTTTATTTCTCAATTTAAGAAACATAGACCCAAACGTCAGTCAGCCCTGTTGCCATCAATAAACAATAATTTTTTAAAAGAAGAAGAAGAAATTAAAAAAAAAAAAGAAGTTAAAGTGACTCAGCCAAGTGAAGGACATACACATTTACACAGACTGGGGTAGGGCCTTGAGAGTTTGTGCCGTACTTCAGTCCCCTGATACTGTAACCCACAGCCCCAAAGGAAAACATTACCTTGTGCTTGGTCATCGCGCCCACAATGAGGGGACAGATCATTCCAGAGAGGGTTCCCACTCCGTTTGAGATCCCCATGAGAATGCTGGCATAGCGGGGGGCAATGTCCAAGTGGTTGACATTAAAACCTACAGTGAAGACAAACACCTCAAAATCAGACTCAAGAACAGAATTCCAAATACATTTTGGAAAATACTAGCTTTCCCCAACTCTCATCAATCTATTTCCTCTACATGTAACTAATGGATACCTTTACTGGAAAGGCTGGGTTGAGGATTGTCAGGCTGTCTCTGCACATAGCAGAAAAACATGCTATGGTTGACTAGCAATGACTACCATGGGTTCTCCATGAGGAGAATTATGGCACCTGTACCTTCTAGGCTTAGAAGCCCAAAATAATGGTGTTTGGGGCAATACTGAAAAGCCCGAAGCCTGGATCACATTTATTCAGAGTAAACAATCACATGATCACATAGAGTGTGCTTAGAAGCAAACCCTGCCTCATAATATCCTCCCTCTTAGCTCTCAACTCGCTCCCAAAAGGCCACCATATGTAGGTCTGCCTTAGTAGCTACATGGCATAATGGAAAGGGCTCCTTTTTGATAAGAAAGATTTACACAAACATTGGCAGAATCCTCTGCAATTTTCAAAAGACTTTTACATACATACTTGATTTGGAGTCTGTAAACCTGGATTCGAATCTTATTCCTACCTCTTAAGTCATTTTTTAGGACTTTGTTTCCTCATCTCTAATTTGGGAGTAATGTTACTACTTAACTCATAAGGATGCTGTGAGATGAGACTCAGGGGAAATATGTATGCGAGAGCTCTTGGCAGACAGCTAGGCTCTGGTTACTCTCATGATTACCAATACCAGTACTACCTCTGCTGTTGCCGCCACTTCTAAGCACGCCCCTCTCTTTGAGGTCTTCTATCTATAGATAACTCTGCTAGGAGTGGTAAAATAATAAATCACCAACACCTCACTATTAATCTGCTTATCAGGAGACAAGAATGAGTGGGATGAAGGAGGAGTGAAGACAGAGGAGGAATAAGGCTTTGAAAGAGGAGGCATCAGGCACTGGGAACCAGTTCTACCAGTATAGCCCAGAGGTGCATTTTAGAGTCAGACAGAACTCGAACCTGGCAGCTTAACTGAGATGCAAACCTGGACAAAGGATTTAAACGTTCTGAACCTCAGCTTCTTCACCTATAAACTGGGATAATCAGTCTTATAGAATTGTTGTAAGAATTAAGTTAAATCATATATGTTAATTACATAGAGGTGAAAGCCAACATATAGGTTCTTTACGGTTGGTTATCCATCTGCCTTGTTTACCACTATCTTCCCTGAGCTGGCAAAGTGTCTGGCACATAGTAGGCATTCAATAAATAGTTGTTTAATTAATTACCAATTTGAGCTCTGAAATTACAGCAGGGGGCTGTAGGTTTTGTTTATTCATATTTTTATTTTCCTTGGTCTTGCTTTTTAATTCTCTATTTTGTGCAAAGAACTTGAAAACAGAATTTAAAAAAAATATTTTTCCTAATCTGGCACATTGGCTGGTTGTTTTTTTTTTCCTACCTCCATTCAGAGAGAATTTTGAGAAAACCTTTCTGGAATAAACAGACCTTCTCTTTCAGGTCAAAGTGGCAGAAAATCAGAATATAAAACAGCTGCAAGATTAATTAATCTTACTGTTGATTTGAATGCGGTAAACACTTTATTAGAAAAGTACCCAGAGATAAGAAGCAATTAATATGATTGGCGAGTATTATATTCTGATACAAAGCCTAGGCATTTGCGTTCAGCTAAAAACAATGTCAGAAAAGCCGTTTAGGTTTCTAGCTGCACAATACTGATGTTTGGGGGGAAAATTGTTGAGAAACTGAGACATTGATAGATTTTTTTGAAGCAGGCACACAAAGTAAGCTGCACACAAGTTGGGAGAGTCAGTCTTCTCTACATATGACATTTTCTAAAGCAGGCATCACCCATCCTTCGTTTTTGTTTTTGTTTTTCTCTATATTGAAACTTTATTACAAAGTTATAAAGCAGAGCTCTTTAACAAAAGATACACATTTGGGTTTGCTCTTAACACCCACGTACGTCTGAGAAAATATTAATATAAGCCACTTGAAATAACAGATTCACATCCAAAAGATTTCAACAAATTTATACATTTTATATTGAGCACTTTCCATCCCTTGTATATTTCTAATCTCACCTGTCTCAGCTCTCTTGTCCATAATCAGTCCCTAAGCTGAGCAGGTCTTCCCTGGCAAACTTATCAGCTCCTTATAAAGTTGGCAGATAGCAGATCCTAAGGAATCATCATCCCCATGACTATAATCCCTCCCATAGTCTCACTGTTGGATCAGATAAACCTTTATTCCAATCCTAATTACTTAATTTATCTGCGTAAGTTAAGTCACGTTTCCAAGCATCAGTGTTGTCACTGACAAAATGAACATAGCAATACCCTTCTCATCAGGCTGCTACAGAGATTAAATGAGATTATATCTAAAAAGTGGCCAGCATTGAGTAAGTGCTGGAAAAAAAAAAAAAAAAAAAAGAGGCAACTGCTGTGATTTGGGCTGTTGGATTTCTCTCCTTCTGATTGTGGCTTAACTGGCAATCTGGGGACAATATGAGCCTGAATATTTCAATATCTCTGGGAACAGGAGGATATGAATTTCTTTTGCATCACAGGGCTATCAAAGAAAGGTGTTCCTTAACATCCTACTAGAAACAAGTCATTACTGCTCTATCCTTGCTACTCAAAGTATGGACTATTGATCAGCGGCAACAACATCACTGGGGAGCTTGTTAGAAATGCAGGATCTCAGGCACCACTCTGGACCTACTAAATCAGAATCTGCATTTTGCAAGATCCTTAGGTGATTTGCATTCACACTAAATTTTGAGAAGCACTGGACTAGATTAAATAATAATTGAACAACAATAGTGAATATTTATTAATTGTCTTATGCATCTGGTACTGGGCTAAGATCTTCTAATGCTTTAACTCTGCTTTTAATGCTTTAATGCTCTGATTAACAGGGGTTAATCCACTAGAATGTAAACTTTATGAGGACAGAATCTTTAATTTTTTTTTTTTCCCTGCAATGTCCCCAGTGCCAAGAACAGCGTCTGTCTCTTGGGAAGTGTGAGTGAATAAATGAATGATCTCAGCTCATTGCAATCTCCCACAACCCTAAGAAGTTGCCGTTACATTGCTCCAATCTCTAGATGAGGAAACTGAGGCTTTAGGATGTAAATAACTTAGTATTCTTTTTCTTTTATAAATCGTAAGTAGTAAAGAGGGCCCTTAAACCCAGGTCTTTGCATCCCCAAACCCGTTGTTAGCTGCAAGCTACTTTTAATGCAGACATTTTTTCCTAATTTAACTATATATCAGCTCTATTTACAGTTGACGCTTGAACAAAGCAGGTTTGAGCTGCATGGGTCCACTTACAGGCGGATTTGTTTTTCAGTAGTATATACTACAGGACTACAGGATCTGTGGTTGATTGAATCCTCAGATGAGAAATTGAGGATACAGCAAAACCCAGGATGCGGAGGAACATCTTATACAGAGGGCCGACTACAGGGTATAGGCGGATTTTCGACTGTGCTGGGGGTCAGCACCCCTAACCCCCACATTGTTCAAGGGTCAACTGTATTTTGATAAGATCAAGCCCCCGTTTTATGTTAGTTTAGACCAGAGGTTCCATGTTTTTCTGTTCTGGGATGTTAGCACCCTGTTTGATCTTTAAGACAGCCCAGAATTGTGGAAAGAGCACAGACACGAAGCCTGGCAGGACTGCACCTTAGTTCTTCCTTTGCTACCAATTGTGTGACAATAGGAAAGTCCCCAGTTTTCCTGAGTTTTAATTTGCTCCTCAGTAAAATAATGGTAATATCATTTGCTTCATAATTTTGTCAGATAGATGCAATATATGTGAAGTGTTCTGTAAATGACACTTTTTAGTCCTACAATATGTTTTTAAAGTTAGAAAAAAAAAACTGAGTTTTACTTTTTCACCCAGTTTTGCATAGGGACCTACTGAAGTCTGTAAGACATGATATGCTAGCACTGTGACCTCTCACACAGTAGGCTGGTTTCTGCTCTGGTAAAATGGGAGACTGATAGCCCTTAGGGTAGCTGTGAGAATGACAGGGGTTAATACACAGAGTGGGCTTTGAACAGTCCCCGGCACAGAGTTTGTGCCTGATCAATGTTAGCTCTCATCGTCACCATTATTATTTTTACTTCCTGCTCTCGCCTGTTTAGAAAGTCACATCACCTCCCTGGACCTGAATTTCCTTGTTTGGAAAATGAAAGCCTCGGAGTAGACAAAAATCTAAAGAAGAGTTCCACCCTTAAAAACTTCTGATTCTATGACTATATGTCAAATGACTACATCGTTTGACTTTTGAGTTAATATCAGCAGCTCTCCAATAGGAGGTGAGGATTGAAAAGGTCATGAGAGCCTCCATTAGTTAGGGTGACCTGGTTCTGAAGTATGAAGGTGTCACTTCGTCCAGCAACACACGCGCTGCCCATGCCCCAGAGGCAGCGCCTGCACGTTGTTTGTTTCCAAGATGGAGAAAGTATCAACAATTCCAGCTTGACTGGCCTCCTAAGCCTGGTTCTCAGTGATCTGACAAAATCATCCCCACTAGGTGAAAGTCTCTAGCCAGTGGCCCTGACCCTTGGGAATGGCTTGGCTACCAAAGGAAGATGCTACAATATCTTTTCCTTCCTTCCTCCCAAGTCTTGCTGGATCTATGGAAAAGATTGGGAAACCCAAAGGACACTTTACCTGAAATAGCAAAACCACTAAATCCTACGGCAAGCACCAGAAAGGAGATAGCCACCCCTTTGGTATGGGAAAAGCCAACCACAAGGAGTAAGGTTGCCTCCATGCCAAAACCTGCAAATGGAAACAGCAGGGGGGAAAAAGTCATTTTCATGTCAATCAGCCCAAGTTCATGAACTTATCAGATAAGGATCTGTTTTTATTTCCATGGACCCAAGTTTTTAGTACATACATTCTGGCACAATATCTACAATCTTATTGGGGTGTTTCTTGACTACTTGACGATGCTAATATTACCCGGGTGTTCTGTGAGCCTTCCAACATTTTCCTGGTGGACTTTGAACACTGAATGGTCCCAGGAGGTACGATGATGCCCGTGGGATGAGGGATGTTTATTATCCGTTGTTCATGGGTAGTTCCCCCTGCCATTTCTAAATACTAAAACCATCAGTGACTCTCCTTTGATTACACAAGTGATGGTCTCTCACAGAAAAATGAAATAAAAATAAAATTAAAAAATAAAATATTATTATTGCCAAAGGTGACTAGAAAGCTGTAGTGAATATCTGAAACAAAAAGCAGAGCCTCACCACTTGTAAAGCGTAAGGCAGAATCTTCCCTTTCAGAAGTTTGCCAAGCTCTCAGGCCTCTGTATAAAGCCACGAGATATTTGCACAGAAAATACAGCAGGACAAAAGTACTTTCTGTTCCTTTCATTCAGAATAAGTGAATCCAGCACAATAAAAAAGAGTAAGGAAATTATGAAGATGGTCCTTCTCATCAACACACAGACACACACACACACACATTCAGCCGATAGCAGACAGAAAGATGATATGAATACCATTTCCAGGGACATGAAGTACCCTGGGAGGTAGAAGACAATGAAATGATGCTTCATACTGGGGACCGTCTGCTGATTCCAGACATCACCACACATTTGTCCTTTGAGTTACCTCAAAGACAACAGGCCCACATCAAGTCTCTGTTCCCCTATTTTCACTCTGAAACAAACAAAGCAAACTACCACCACACTCTTTCTTCTTCTCTAAATTAAACTTCTATTCCCCTGTGTTTAGAATCCAGACTTTGTCAGACGGGCCTGGGTTCAGATTCCATCTCAGAATCACAAATTGTGTGATCTTGGACAAGTCACCTCACCTCTTAGATTCCTCATCTCCCCCGCCAAATGGAGCCCATAATACAACCTTGGAACATTGAAAGGTTAAATGAAATTGGGTATATAAGGTGTAGAGAGTGATCGTTGGCCATGGGCACGGCTCAACAAATGGTAACCAAAAGTCCAATGCAGAAATCTCAGAATCATCTTGGACTTCTTCCTCTTCCTCAGCTTTCACATAAGATAAGAATCCATGGGTTTGGCCTCAGAAATATCTGTCAAATCCGACCTCTGCTTTCCCCTCCTCTGCCGTTGTCTTAGTTCTGGACACCACTACCTCTCGCCTGGACAACTTCAATAACCTCTTTACTGTACTGGTCTTCCCATCTCTTCTTCCTCTGATCCATTCTCTAGATTATCTCTCTAAACCACAAGTCTGATCAGTCGCCCCTTTGCTTAAAACCCTTGTCAATGGTTACGTATTAAGAGTACAATGCTGTATAATAAATCCCTCCTGCGGTTCCAGCTTCATCTTCAGCCATCCTCACCTCCTTGCTCACCACCTGTAGCCCGTAGAAAGCCCCCTGTTGTCACACAGATCTATCTGCTGTTTCCTGATCGTGGCACTGTTTTGTGCCCATAATGTATTTCCACAGACTGTTCCTTCACCTGCAGTACTCTCCTCCCACCACTTCTCTTTTCTGGAGAAATCTTACTATTCTTTAAAGTCCAGCTCAAATATTGCTTGCTTTAGGAAGCTTTCCTGATAACCCTGCCGCTCACCCACCAGTAAAGCTGACATCTCACTCTTACTCATTTTATAGAGCTTTTCAACATTGCCTTGTAGTTTTTCATTTGTATTTCTGCCTCCCTGACAAAACTGTGATATTATCCAGGGAAGGTACCATATATATAGCACAGAGCCTGGTGAGTATGTAGTGGGAGCTCAATAAATAATGCTTGATGAATTAATGTGAAGGAAAGAAAGGAAAACCAAGACAAGTTAAAACACAAGCTAAAGCACTTTTTGTAAACCTTGGTAATTTGCTTACCTGTCTGAGTCCATTTCTTCAAAACTATCATAGAAATAGGGCAAGCCTCAATAATTGTTTTACTTGGTCATCTAAAAAGGATCAATGCAATTATGGGTGCAGAGGTGCTTTTTAAACTGTGGGCTTTACAGACTCACTCATATAGAGAACAAACTAGTGGTTACCAGTAGGTGGGGAGGGAGGGGCAATGTAGGGATGAGGGAGTAGAAGGTGCAAACTATTGGGTGTAAGATAGGTTCAAGGACGTATTATACAACAAGGGGAAAGTAGTCAATATTTTGTAACAACTATAAACGGAAAGTAACCTTTAAAAATTGTATGAAAACATTTTTTAATTTTTAATAAATAAATAAAAATTTTAAAAAACTGTGGACTTTATACCATTACTACTTGTTATTAATTTTGTTTCAACAGTTTAAATTATACATAAGGAAAAACTGCTAGTTTTGTGTTTTACAAGTGGCATGTCTTAAGCAACAAGGCACATGGCTGAAACTTCCTTTAACACTTTCAACAAAGTGGTACCAGAAAGTTAATTCCCCCAAAGAATTAGAATAAAGACACGTGAAGAAGAAAACCTACAAATGATACACTGATTCATCTCTAAGGATAAAAAAGACCTTTGCCAAATAGTAGACTTTCAAAGAAAGAAAAACCATTTAAGAGCCTAAATGGTTCCTATCTACAGTGAAAATGCTAAAGATAGAACTGTATGTTTCAGGAGCTGAAGGATAAAATTTGAACTTCATGGGTAATCAAGAGATCCTGGAAAGTGAACCTATCCAGAGCTGACAAGAAAAATGGAGCAAGGATTAAAAGGCCTGAGAAATTTTTTCATCTCACCTGAAGTTCAAACAGGCAACTGATTCGGCCAGACTAGAATTTTTGACCTCACTCACATTTTCCATGTAATACAGAGGGAGGTATAAGGATTTGACATCTGTCTTTGAGGATCTTGGAAATGTGCCCTGATTCAGAATGAACTAGAATAGAGCATCATGTCTTAAGGTGATCTGTTTGCTTTAAATGATTCTAGCAGCAAATATCTCTTGTCTATGGAAAGAAAAGAAGGAGGTGGCAGACTCCACACAATGTGTGATCTTTCTCAGATGAGAAACGTCCTCTGTATTTTGGCTTAGAAAATATGAAACCAACTAAAATTCTCTAGAAGATCATGTAAGTGCTTCATTGTATCCAAATCAACCTGGCTTATTCAGTGATGGCACAAAACTCTGTTTACCTCTAATGCAGCATCTCTGTGTTTAAGCAAGGTGGGAAAAGCATGGTCTTTTAAAAAATTTTTTCTATGTATATCCCACTGGTTCTGCTATGTCAAAATATAAAATGACATGAATAAACATGTGAAGAGATTTTTTTTCTTTTTAAGATGGGATAGAGGCTGGGGAGATTCTATGAATGCATTCTAGTTTCTGCCAAAAAAAAAAAGAAATAAGAAAAAAAAAGGATTTACTCAAGGATTTAAAATATTTGAGAGTTGTCACCACCACCTAAACTATTAATTATGAAGAAAAAATGGCAAAGGTGATTGAGGAAAAATTAAATATGAACAAGACATTCCTATGAAAATGTTGTTAGGTTCTTCAAGGCATCTGTCTTTAGAAGAGGTTGTACAGGTAGAGTTTAAACACAGAATTTTCTTTCAAGTTCTAGGTTTAGAAGTTGCATATTTTGGGCCATGGGAAATATGAGTGAATAGCATATACTTATTGAATGCTTCCTTTGAAAAATTTCTGTTTTGTCAGTGTCTTGAACACAGGAGAAGAAAAAGGCACTAAAATATGTCAAGAACATTCTGTTTGCTGAACTCATGCTGGGTGCATACATACGTTGTCTCATTTACAATCATAACAATCATCTGAGGTAAATGCTATTATTCAGATATTAAAGAAGAAGAAAGTAAGGCTCATGGAATTTAGAAATCCATCCACTTCAGTGTCCACCTCCACTGACACTACTTTAGATCCAGCCACCATCTTCTTTCCATGGAATGACTGAAATATCCTCTTAGCTAGTTTCCCTTCTTTTACTCTAAGTTCTATTATTTCGATTTGAAAGCGTAAATCAGATCTTGTCCCTTTCCCTCCTTTAAACCCTCCATTTGCTTCCCAATGCACCTCAAGTAAAACCCAAGCTCCATGTATGTCTGTCTACAAGGCCTCCCGTGATCTGGCCCCAGCTGTGCACTCTGATCCCCTCAATGTCACTCTCCACCTCACTCATCAAGCACCGACCATTCTGACTTTCCTTCCTTCTGTTCTCTAACATGTCACAGTCATGTCTGCCTCAGGGCCGTTGCACATGCTATTCCCTCTGCCTAAAATACTTTCCTGCAAGAGCTGTAATAAGGAAGTACATGATGAGTTGTAAACCAAGTGTATAGACAGAAGGAGCATTCACTGGAGGCTGACGTAGCCTTAACAAAACACAAGTGAAAAGACTTGAGCTGATGTAGTAGGCTGTGTGGGAAGGACTGAGTTGATTGGTGAAGGTGAGCAGAGCTCACAGTAAAGGGAAAGGGCGTGAGCAAAGTCAGAGACAGCAAGATATATTCAGGGCCTGGTATGGAGGGCTATTCAGCTGGAACAGAATCTGATAATTAGAGGAGTGGTACTTTGACTACTATATAAGTTTCTGATTGCTACTATAACAAATGACCACAACCTTAGTGACTTAAGACAGCACAACTTTTTTATCGTACAGTGCTAGAGGTCAGAAGTCTGAAATGGGTCCTACAGAGCTAAAATGGGGGTGTCAGCGAGTTGCATTCCTTTTGGAGGCTCTGGGGAAACTCTCTTCTTACTTTCTGAGCTTCTAGAGTCTGCTTGCATTCCTTAGCTTGTGGCTGCATCATTCTGACGTTTGCCTCCACTGTCACATCTCCATCTCTGACTCTGACCCTCATGCCTCCTCTTATAAGGACCCTTGCAATTATGTTGAGCACACACAGATAATCCAAAATAACCTCTCCATCTCAAGATCCTTAATTTAATCACATCTGCAAAATTCCTTTTACTATGTAGGGAAACACATTCACTAGTTCTGGGAATTAGGACATAGACATCTTTGATGAGGAAATTATTCTGTCTACCTCAGCCGCCTTGGGGAGGATCGTGAATGCAGTGCCGCAGAGCTTCCCCTCCTGCCCATCAGAGAGCAAGCCCATACCTGCCAACCTTTAAGTTCAAGTCAAGGGTAGGCCCCCAAATCCCTGCTTGGGGCCAGCAGTCAAACTGCTGGGAGCCCAGATGCTGACAAGTTATTCCCAATCTCCCTGATCAGACTTTATTCCTGAGATGCTGTGCGATGAGATCATGCCTGCTGGCTCTTGCATCCCTCCATAGGATCTTCACTTCTAAAGGGCCCTGACCCATCTAATCTAGTCACAGTGCCCCCATTCCCTCCTTTTCAACTTAATATCCCAGTTATGAACTTTCGCCCATAGATGGCGCTGTCCTCTACCTCCCACCTGCCCACCCTGACCCCCAGTCCCCTGGAGAGATAGCAGCAGTGACTGTAAGCATTGGCAATGAGCTCAGACAGACCTGAGATCTTGCACAGGATCTGCCACTTGAGCAAGTCACTTTATTATACCCCAGTTTCCTCACTGTAAATTGGGTTTAATACATAACAGCACTTGCTCCACAGGGTGGTTATGAGGATTAAATAAAATAATATGTGTAAAGAATTTAGCTTAGTGGCTGGCACAGAAAGTGTTCATTAAATGCTAATTTTAAAAGGAAAACAAAAAAGATAAGGAGGAAGTGGAGGGTTTTAAAAAGGTGAGCTGTCATAAGCATTGTAAGGGTTCGTGTTACTTTTACCTACCTCTTTTGGAAAATGGCCCAACTTGTATTTTATCTTTGCAAAATCAAAACATGAAACAGGAACTAATTAACACAAGGAAAAGGACGGTGTGTGTGTATGTGTGTGTGTGTGTGTGTGTGTGTGTGTGTGTACACCCCATGCACAAGCATATGTTGGGAAAAAAGAAAACTATTCAGAGAAAATACTTTTTTTATGTTTCTTACCAAAACATGTATATATGTAGAAAGGGAAGGGGGAGATAAGGGAATAAACTATAAAAGCAAAGGATTATATATGTGGAAGGATATATGGGAAAGATAAAAAATAAAAAGATAGATACCAGGAAATCATGTTGCTTTGGCTTAAGAGTAGATGAAAGAAGCATTTCTGCAGTTGCCAGTGTATATTGATGTATCAAATAAGTTGTCATATCTCTCTCTTTTTTAAAATATTTCTTTTCTTTTTCTTCTTCTTTTTTGGCCACGTGGCTTGTGGGATCTTAGTTCCCCAACCAGGGATTGAACCCGGGCCCTTGGTGGTGAGAGCACAGAGTCCTAACCGCCAGGGAATCCCCAAGTTGTCGTATCTCAGGTTGCACAAGTACAGGCTGAATGACCACTAGGCAGGGGTGTGATGGACACTCAACTGGGGGATGGACTTAGGAGCCTTTAAGATCCTGCTCAGTGACATGAACTCCAAAATATGGTCTGCAATTCAGTTTCATCTCGTTCTATAAAAGCTTCTTAAGCCACCTATGAAATCCACAGTACCTCCACAGTTCATGATTTTTCTGACAGCAGTTGTGGTCAAAATTTTTCTGCTTCTTAAATGATCAGCCAATTGTCCTCCAATAGGCACAATGATTGTCATAACCATGTGTGGGAGTGCTGACAAGAGACCCACCTGGAATGAAAAGAAGCAATGAGCTATTTTTAGCTACTTCTGAGAGAGGTACTTCCTTAACTCCCTGCCCCCGCCATCCCCACCGCACCCCTCACCATCAGATTTAATCATCTAATTATATGGGACCAAGGTAGGCCTGACTTCTGTAATAAATAAGCAATGAATGAATGAATGGTTTTAAGGATAGACCAAATGTCTCCTCCATCAGATCGGAAGCTCCTTGAGGGCAGAGGTGACTTTTATTCATCACAGGCCCCAGCACGCAGCAGAGTGCCCAGCACATGGTAGTTAAACACTTGGCGCAGACTGAGTGTTCTCCAATGGCAGCCACTATGGGCTGTGCTAGCTCTTCCACGGTCACTTCTGACAGTACCTGTAGCCATGCAGACATCTACCTCTACTAGGCTGCTGTTCTTTCCCTTGTGGGAAGGAGGCTTAATTCTTTTATGATGACAGTTTATGTTTTACCATTCACATTCTTCCTCCCTGAAACACAGACAACCTAATGGCAATGGCTGGGGACTTTGAAAAAGTTCTTTCTAAACCATACAAAGCTCTGGCCGTTATCGCTATGACCGTGATCTGCAAAATGAGCTTTAAGGTTCTTACAGCTCCTCACTGAATAATTTACAGGAAAAACAAAAAACAAAACAAAAACCAAAAAAACCTCTCACCCTTAAATCTTTTGATCCTTGCCTAATATGCAGTCCTTGAGTCAGCTTCAAAAACACTTTGAGATCAGGTATAATACAAAGCTTTAAAAGCAGCTTAATACAGCTCTGATCCTTACTAAGAAGAAATTAAATAGCTATGTGTACCGTGCATAGAATGTATAACTTGTCTGACCTCCAGGGTATTAGGTGTCACAGAACCGTTATGAATTTTGATCAGCAATTTACTTATTTTATCATGCAAAGATTTTCTCAGTAGAAGCAAGAGATTTAAAGTTCAAGAACATTTGAAGCAACTGTGTGTTTACCTTACTTATTGCAAATCCAAAGACCTCTTCAAAATAAGCAGGCTGACTTATTAACAGCAAGTAAAAGGTCCAGCTTCTGCAAAAATTTGCCACAATGATTGCATAAACCGGCAACGATGTAAAAAATTTTTTCCACGGTGTATTAAATTTCTAGGGAGTAAAAATACAGTGGGATTTTTAGTGAATATACTGACAGATTATTTTTCTTAGGAGGATAACACAATCACTGAGAGAAATACTCATAAAAAAGAGGCAAGTCTTCATCCATCTGGCTCTACTTACACTGAGGCTAACCAAGTTGGCTCCTTCTCCTATACTTGTCTCTATATAGGTCCTTTCCTCATGGGATATTGTTGGGTGAACTGCTGGACACTCATAGGCCTGCAACAGCCAAAACATGTACCAGATAATCCCAAATATACCTGCAGTTGAAAAACAAAAGGCTTGATGATACAGTCTCATTTTCTTCCATCTCTAAATCTGTCAAATTTCAAAGTATTCTCAAACGGCTCTATATTCAGCTAGGAGAAAGTGTTTGGTTTATTTTTCCGTTGTTGTTATTATTAACTGGTATTTAAAGAAAGATAATGTTCTGCTCATTAAATTCAACTTTCATATAAACATTAAATGAATCATCGCTAGACAAGTATTCCATTTATACGATAAACTTGTCTTAGTAATCTCTATTTTCATACAGAAAACTCTTAGCCAACCCCATTAGACAGTAAAATACCACCTCTATGAGTCACCCAAGGGAACTCGTGAAATCAAATCACTCACCATAAATATAAAAGACAGAGGCCCATCCCATGTACTGTACCAACACGCCGGCCAGCGGCATGGCAATCACTGCCCCCGCGTAGGAACCTAGAACGGGAAAAGGTTGAGGGAAACTTACCAGTCGTCATGCAAGCCCTTTCAAACCATTTAGAGTTCATGTGGTCGAACTGAGGATGAATCAAACTGTGCAGGAGTCACGAGGAGGAGTAGGCAAACTCCCACTGTGCCCAAAACAGGGCTTCCACGAGAGAAAGTTCACCAGGATGCCCTTTAACTTCCTCCAGACACCATGGAGGGATCAGACAAAGATGGCTCAGGCACCGTGATTTGGAATTACAAGAGAATGGAATGAAAAGATGAGAAAAATCTAAGAGGATTCTGAAAAATTCAACCAGGCACAATATTGGGTGCAGAAGACAGAAAGTGAAGGAACGTATGTATCTACCTCTCAGGGCTCACAGAGCAGAAGGATTATCACCATGGTCTTTATTTATTAAAAATTTTTTTTCTTCCAGCTTTATTGAGATATAATTCACCTAGGTCTTTAAAAGAGGGACTTCAAACTATGAAAGGATCATGCTTTTAGAGTCTCGATTTTTTTTTTTTTTAATACCAGGAAACAGTTAAATTTCAGGGTGGCAGGATGACCAGGATGGCTTCTGCCTCCATCCACCTCCTAAATATGTACATTTTTTAGTTTCTTACTTTGTAAATACCTAACCTTGTAAATACTTACCTATATGTGGGTGTTTGTCTTGTCTAGACAAGATAGTGAGGGCTAGAGGCAGTGACCTCACCTCCACTACCTCCTGCAGTTCCATGATACCTGCTGGAGAAACGTGAGCCCTGCAAACTCCCAATAAATATTAACTAAATCAAAAAAAATTACTATCTGAAATTCCCTCTGGGTATGAATGAAAAAAAATTCTTGCTTCAGAAAAAGTGAGCCACAAAAGGAAATTCTATATCCCAGAATCCAATGCTAAGAAAAACCTTCAGGAAATGGGAGCTCGGGGATCTTCCAGAGAAAGAGATTAAATCCCATCTTTCCAAGCTGGGCCCGACTGGTTATGAAAGGCCTGACCTGGAATCCCAAATCTGAACATCTTAATACCTGAAGAAGTCTCTCAGTCTCTCCAAATCATTTTCATTAGGTAGAAGATGGAAGTGAAATCTCTATCTCACAGGGTTGTTTTGAGGAGCAAATAAATTATTAGATGAAGATGCTCTAATTAGTGCTGCATAAACACCAACTATTACTGCTACTGTCAGGTACAGAATGACGGAGCACTTTTTTTTTTTTAACCTCAGACTTCCTCAAACCAATAAGGCAAGCATTCCAGGACGTATCATTAGAAAGAAGAGCTGCAGGCCTAATTCCTCTGTGGGTGTGGAGAAGGTGGTCTTCTTTCCTGGACCAAATACCCTGGGAGTGGGGGTGTGGGGCCTCCAGCTTAGATGATGCAAACAGGGAGGGTCGGGGGATAACAATCTATAAGCTCCACTGGGTGCTTTCTGTGTGCTCTCTAGTACTGTGCTGAGTATTCTGGACCCCTGATTTTATTTAACCCTTTTTTCAACCTGGTAACATTGGTACCAGTGTCATCCCAATTTTACAAGAAGGGGAGGGGAGGGGAGGTAGATTTCCTGAGGTCACATAGGTGTGAGTGATAGGACCCCAGGTCTGCAGGAATCCAAAGCCTTTAACCTTAACTACTTAATAATTCAGTCCTGCTTCTTCCGCTCAACCACACCCAATAATTCCTCACAGTAAGAAACATTCATTCACTGAGGAAATTTTACAGCTTGAAATTGTCCTTCCCTGTCTTTATTTATTTATTTTTGCTTACGCGGGCCTCTCACTGTTGTGGCCTCTCCCGTTGCGGAGCACAGGCTCCGGACGCGCAGGCTCAGCGGCCATGGCTCACGGGCCCAGCCGCTTGGCGACACGTGGTATCTTCCCGGACCGGGGCACGAACCCGCGTCCCCTGCATCGGCAGGCGGACTCTCAACCACTCAACCACTGCGCCACCAGGGAAGCCCTTCCCTGTCTTTTAGATGAACTCTTCCTCATCCTTCCAGACATGGCTAAATGTAATCTCCTATCACACCCTGAGCACACCCCAACAGGGCTCTCCACCCATATTGCCCTCACTGCACCTTGATGCCTCTGTGTGGTCACCAGGGAGGACAGAGGAGGCCCTCTGATACTTGTTGCTTGGCGTGGAGAGAGGGGAGTGGCTGAACAGGGGATGGGAGAGTCCCCAGTTCTGTCCTCACTCTCCATGGGAATTTATATCTTTTTTTCCCTCCCTGAGCCTCCACTATAAAATAATGGAGGTAGAAAAAGAAATCAGATTTGTGGCTATCAGAGGCAGGGGTGGGGAGATGGGAAATTAGATGAAGGCAGTCAAAAGGTACAAATTTCCAGGTATAAGATAAATAAGTCCTTGGGATGTAACATACAACATGATAAAGATAATTGACACTGCTGTATGTTGTCAAAGAAAGTTAAGAGAGTAAATCCTGAGTTCTCATCACAAGGAAAAAAAATGTTTTTCCTATTTCTTTGATGTTGTATCTGTATGAGAGGATGGACATTCACTAAACCTATGGGGGCAAACATTTCATGATGCATGTAAGTCGAATCATTATGATGAACACCTTAAAATTATGTAGTCTGCATGTCTCTTACAACTCAATAAAAGTAGGGGAAAAAACCAAAAACAAAAATCTATGTCTTTGAATAAAACCAGTTTTACTTCTAAAAAAATTAAAATTAATTAAAAATATAAAACAATGGATGTGACTAGATGTTTTCTAAAGACCCTTCCAACTCCAATATTTTTGAAGTGTAAGAATCAATTATCCCTAAGCCTGGGTTTACTTCTAATGACATTTTCCCTTGGCTGTTCTTTGAAACCAAGGCCACACCTTAGCTGGGAAATGTAATAAAGCCTGTGACCTTGATCAGGTAACTTTCCTTGAGAGTCAAATCATTTCTTTAATTAGCCCTTTTAGGTCTATAAAGACACTAAGAATGAGCAGTAGCTGCCAGTTATTCCTGTTTTGCTGGCAAATCAAAATGAAAAGACTTACAAATAAATCATCCAAAGACAATATCAGGGGACTTCCCTGGTGGCACAGTAGTTAAGAATCCGCCTGCCAATGCAGGGGACACGGGTTCAAGCCCTGGTCCAGGAAGATCCCACATGCCGCAGAGCAACAAAGCCCGCGAGCCACAACTACTGAGCCTGCGCTCGAGATCCCACAAGCCACAACCACTGAAGCCTGCATGCCACAACTACTGAAGCCTGTGCACCTAGAGCCTGTGCTCTGCAACAAGAGAAGCCACCGCAATGAGAAGCCCACGCACCACAAAGAAGAGTAGTCCCAGCTCACCGCAACTAGAGAAAGCCTGTGCGCAGCAATGAAGACCCAATGCAGCCAAAAATAAAATAAATAAATAAATTTAAAAAGACAATATCAATAGGTCAAGGTCAGCTGGGGCAGAATCATATTCTTCTAGAGGTGGTATAAGATCAGTAGTGGAGGTAGAGATGATCTTGAACTTCAAACAAGAGGACAGAAATAGTTTCTAAGGATGAGAGAGGCTAAAGAAGTAAAGACATCTCTGCTGTGCATGCATTTCCAAACTAGGCACAAAATAGACACTTTGGGTGGATATTTCACACCAGATTCCCTGGGACACTTTATTACTACTACTACTACTACTTAAGGAGGTAAAGAGAGAGAGACAGAGGGAGAAATAAATAAAGATATTCAGAGAAATAAAGCTTCCTCTTTAGCTAAGAAATACACATTAGCTACGGTTAGGAAAGACATGCTAGCCTGAAAAACTAAGCAGAACTAAATTCTGATCCTAATTCTACGTGGGCCCGTTGTGACTTTCGTGGCCTAAGGCACTTTTGTCTTCCTTGGCCCCTTCTCCCATAAAAAATATTTGAAAATATTGGTGGCAACATGTGCTGTTCTTGTTCAAATGTTAATCAATGCCTAGTAGACTCTTCTGAACATTGATTACTCTCAGAGATTCGTAGAGGGGCCAGTCCCAAAGACATGGCTTCAAATGAGGCAACCTTAGCAAGGTGAAGTTTGGAGACCCTGGAATTTAAGTCACATCACTACTTAAGAGCCATTAATTTACTTTCAGGTAAGATGGATGGTGTCCACTTCATTTTTATCTGGAAGATAATGGCGAAAATTGATTAAACAGCTTCTATGACAATGTGTACATAGTAGTGTGTAGTGAGGAAAGTTCTGAATCGAGAACCAGGTGGTCTAGATCCAGCTCCTTAACTTAGTAGCTGTGTGACCTTGGGCAAGTCATTGGACTTTCGTTTCAGTTCAATGAAACTAAACTTCAAACTTTAGTTTTAATTTCTTAATTTGTGAAAAGGAGTGGGGGCCTTGATGATTCTATTGATATATCTTCTGTTTTCAACTTTGGAAAATATCATTTGTTGGCTAATCCTACAACCACCTCCAACCCCTTCTTTCTCACCTTTGTCTATTAAAGATGCTAGAAAAACTAGGCACTTGCTTTCCTAGCCTCCTCTGCAGTTAGTAAAGTATATGACACAATTAGAACCAAGGAAATATAAATGGAAGCCTGCTAGGGAGTTTGGGGAAAGCTTTTGCTTTCCTAGTGAAAGGAACAGACATGGTTAGGACACCTACCCCAACTTCTTTCTGCCTTTAATGTGGACTTGATACCTGGAGCTGTGACAGCCATTTTGTGAACATGAGGAGCATGCATGAATGTAAAAAGTTATCACTCTGAGGATAGTGGAGTAAAAAGTCCGAATGTGCGTAGTCCCTGGATATATCATGAAGCAGCAGGATCAATATTAGCAACGATTTACCTTTGGACTTCTGTTATGTGAAAAAAATAAATTCTATTTAGTAGGGTCTTCACTTGAAGCCAAAGCATTCCTAAATGAAACTTGTTACGGTTCTAATACACTTACCGCAAAAAGAAGTTGTGGCCAGTCGGCTTCTCTCCAAAGGCGGTGCCCACTTACTCCACATCCCATGGCAGGCTGGGTAGGTCACACCCTGGCAAAACAGTTGAAAATAGATTATTTGATCCGATTCCAGTTTCTTTTTGTGTTTAAAACACAGTTTTTGCTTCTTTAACACTACAATTCAAAGCCTAATTTACAGATACTAAATGACATGTGTCAGCTATTTTGGCTCATGGCACAGATGCTGAAATTCAAATACTAGTTCAAACGTAAGCATGGTGGGGAATAGAGAAGGAGTCTTTATATTTCATATTATTATAGAATATCAGTGTAGAAAGGGATTTCCACAACCAGCCGGTCCATCCTGTCATTTTCAAGATACAGAACTTGAGGCTCAGAGCCATTAAGTGATTAGATTCTAATCTTCATGGCTGCTAATATCATGTTCCTTCTACCATGTCAGTATTTTCTGAAGTGTGGTATATGCCCCTCTAGTGGGATTAAAGTTGGATTTAAGGTGCTACAATAACCTACATTTTTTATTATAATTGCTACATATATATTATAACATGCTTTAGAAATAAAATATAACTAGTACATCAAGCCCATGATATCAAAGATATTGTTGCTTATGATAGGTTCTTTTATTTTGTTTTGTTTTGTTTTGAAGTGAATTGATCTAGAGAAAAACTATAGGCAAATAATAGTATAAATCGTAGTGTGGATGTGACAAAAGTGACAAAGGTTAGAGGTGAATGACTGAGTTCGGGAAACATTTCTCTACATCAGGTATTGGCAAACTATAGCCTGATATGGCCCCACCATCTATTTTTGTTCAGCCCTCAAGTAAAGATGGCTTTTACATTTTTAAGTGGGCAGAAAAAAAAACTGGAAGAAGAAGAATATTTCCTGGCATGTGATAATCATATGAAATGCAAATATCAGTGTCCAAAAAGTTTTACTGGAAAGTAGCCATGCCCACATGTTTACATATTGTCTCTGGCTGCTTTTGCATTACAATGGCAGAGTTGAGTCATTGTAACAGACCATAGTATGGCCAGCACAGTGCAAAATATTTACTTTCTGGCTCTATATTATTCTACCTCCTTCATCAAGTTAAATCTCTGTGTAAGACTACACCCTTGGAAATTTACAGATTTATTAATAAGTCCATTTAAACTGTTTTAGTGGAAAGAGCCCTTGCTATGTGAACTGTAAGTTTGGGTCTTTCAGTTTCAAATTTTATTAAATGAAAGGGGGGTGGATTATCTCTAAGATCACTCCTGGCTCATCTGAAATTCTGCCCTCTATGAAATGGTCCTTTATTGGGTATAAATTTGGAATCATACAAGGCAGTTTAATTAAAGTATTCATAATTGTAATCACAACCAGAGAGTTCAGATAGCAGGACAAGGTGGAAGATAGGAAAACTGAGTAAAGGAGGTTTTCCTCAAAAGCTGAAATTTCTAAAGGACCATGTTGTCTCCAGCGGTATCAAAATGTGTTAAGAATCTCCTACCTCCACTAGACCTTGCAAAATTCGGACACACATGACACATCCGTAATGTACTCTGGCTGCAGAAGGAATGAACATGTTCAAGGTCGATGTTAAGAAGATGGCAGCTCCAAAGACCCTGAGGGACCAAAACACTGTGTTATTGGGCAGGCCCACTGATGGATGTGGCATGTTAGTTAAACATCGGGAACAAACCTAACAGTTTATGGAAGATCACTATAGAAATTAATGGAAAGAGAAATAGATGTGTTAGGATCTGGTGTGTTCCAAGCTAGACTGTTGGGCCGCTTTGATTCCCAAGGTCCAGTCCCTGGACCAATCATGGGAAGGTTTTGGGCAGTACAGGGATGTCCTGCCTAGATGAGATCCTGAAGCTGGAGATTGACCAGCATGAGGTAAGCTTGCTGGAGGCCCACCATTCTTCTTGGTTCTACCCAACTGATCCATTCTGACCATTACCTCACGACTTCTGCACATTTGGGTTGTGTCTCCTGCTTCCCAATTCTGCTCTCACTTTACCAGATGGGGATACTGACTATCTGAGAAGCATGCTGTGTCCTGGGACCACCCAAGCACAAGACAGGCTGTGTACCTGTCTTAGCCCCCAACTCTCTGCCAAGTGCCGTGTGCCTTCTCCTCCCTGCCTGGACAGGAGTGTCCTGGGAAAAGAGAGCCAGCAGCATTTTCTTCCTTTCTCACACGTGTTAGTGATGCTTCAGCCCTTTTTACATGCTGCGAAATCATTTTATATGCTATTTCTTCTTACGGCAGAAGTGTAAGTAGTAACCCCAGAGACCATAATAACTAATATTTTAACACTTTTTAAGAAGAATGCAACAGGTAAGTGACAATAAAGGACACAAACTACACAAGAACATAAGTAAATATGAGTCATGCTTATACAAGATGACTTTCAAACTTTTCTGTCCTTGACCCATAAAACCCATATTTTATATCGCAACTCAACACACTGATACACACAAATGTAACTGAAACAAGTTTCAAAAACCAATACTTAAATGTGCAATGAGCTAAGATATTTTCTATTCTATTTGATTACCTTTTCTTCTATTTCTCCCTCTTTTTTTTAGAAAATGGTCATTGGTAAATCACTATTGATTTTATTACCATCTAATGAGTTCTGTTTTAGAGTTTGAAAAACACTGCTTTATAAAGTATACACTTCACAAAATCCACATATGTAAAGTCAATTACAATTAGAAGAGACTTGGAAATAATTAGTACACTCCTTTTCTGGTACATATACATACTACATCTCCCCCAAGTGGCCATCGTTTCTGCTTGAATACCTTTAGTGACAGAGAACTTACTACTCCTTGAAGCAGCTCATTTTGTCTTGGACCCACTTTTAATTGCTCAAACACCTACCATAGAATCTCAAGGGCATTAAAGACATCTTGCAATCTAGAGACTAGCCCCTCCTACTCACAAGACAAAACCTGTATGGAACAGGACGATATTAACATAGTATAGAGGATCACAGAATGTCATTGGTCAAAGGCAACTCAAACACGATCTAATCCATTTCATTTCACAGATGAAGAAACTGAGGCCCAGAGAAAAAAGGAACCCAGTAGAGGTCACCAAGTGAGTTACTTATGGTCCAGGAACTGTTTCTCCTGACTTGGTTGCAATTGATCTTTTTATTACATAATCATTTAAAGAATTGCAAGATAGATTAGATTAGACAAAAAAGTAAACAAAAAGAGACTCTTAAGAACAGGATCATATAAGATCAATGTCTGTGAATCACATCTTTAGGAACGGCTTCTAGCTTTCATTCTGTACCCCTAAATTGAGAGCCAATTATGCAGATTTTATAAGAGTACAAAGCCATATTATGGTCTGTGCAGCACTCATGTTATATCAATTTATCTTACCTGTTAGCAGCAAACTTATTTGAAATGAAACCACCTGGAATTTGTGTCACAATATAGCCCCAGAAAAAAGATCCATGGATAAGGCCCACCGTCTCTGGATCCCAGTTAAATTGTGCTGTCTGGAAATGAGAAATCAGACACAGTTGTGTTTGGAAGAAAACACTTGACCATAATTATTCACTGATCATCCTACACAATAACCCCATGAGGTCTTTCCTTCCCTCATTTATTCAAAGAATATTTTATGGAGGGCCTCTTGTGTGCTTGGGATATAGGACAAAACAAAGTCCTGGCTGTCACTGACCTCAGGTTCTAGTGATAGAAAGGAGAGATTATGTACAAATTAAAAAAAAGAAAAATATAGATATACATGTATATGTTCATATATATATGTATATGTGTGTACATATATACATGTATGTGTATATATTATATATATACATATATGTGTGTGTGTATATATATATATATATATATATACACACACACAGAATAATGATGAGTGCTCGAAAGAAAATAAAACAACTTGCAAAGAAAACAAAAAATAAGTTCTAGGTTTATTAGGTTATTTACTAGGTTATTCAGATACCAGTCTAGTGACAGCACAAAGGGAATGAGAGCCTTAAGTCTCTCGTTTCATAATGAGGATAATAAAACCTATTCTACCTCCCTATAGTATGTGTGGGGATAAACACCATAAATATTTCTAGTAGGTTATCCCTCTGCTTAGAGATTTTGCATTTAACACATTGTCTCAATAAGTGTTAGCAGCCATTATTGCTGTTATGATGATGACAACAAAACACTCTTCCACAACTCTGGGGTCACTGAAAATGTGATTCTTGAGGGTTAGAGAGCCTTTCCTCACTTTCTTCCCCAGGCATAGTAACTCATCCTTTTCAGGCTCCCTACAAATATCCCTCCTCTGAGGAAGCGCCTCAACTGCCCTGAACTGAAGTGGTCATTTTCCTAGGCTTGGTCCACAGACCTCTGTTCTTGCAGCCATGGCACTCACACTGTTCTCAAACTTGCCATTCACGTGTCCACTTCCCACATGGGGTGGCGAGTAACTCTAAGGTGGCAGCCATGTCATTTTGATTTTATAGCCTTAGTACCTGAAACAAATGCCTGTAATGTAGAAGGGGCAAGTAAAGATTTGCCAAATGAATGAATAAACGAATGGCTTTGTAAAGCATTGATATCAAAATGCAAGATGTTCCTATTATGGAGTAAGGGTTCTTAATTATCAACATACTACATCTCATAAATTTTCTTTTTTAAAAAAATATTTATTTAGTTAGGCTGCACTGGGTCTTCGTTGCAGCATGCAGGATCTTAGTTGCAGCCTGCAGGCCTCTTAGTTGCAGTATGCGGACTTCTTAGTTGCAGCATGCAAACACTTAGTTGCGGCATGCATGCGGGATCTAGTTCCCCGACCGGGGATCGAACCCAGGCCCCCTGCATTGGGAGTGCGGAGTCTTAACCACTGGACCACCAGGGATGTACCCAACATCTCATAAATTTTCATCACAGTTTATTTTCCCACAAATTGTTGTATAATAATTTGCTCATTTATTCAACATGTACCTCATGCCTCCTGTGTGCCAGGTCAGGTGATAGGCAGTATAAATACAAACTCACGCAAGTATTGCCTTTGCCTTGAGGAGATCACAGTCCAGGTAACGTCGGCCTGTGCTCTGTACTGTAGTTCCCACTTTGCAGATTAGGAAGTTGAAGCTCAAGAGTAAAATGGGACTAACAGTCATTCATTCAAACCAGCTTACCAAATTTTTATTTCATGCTACTTCATGCCACACATTGCTCTAGGCACTGGGGATACAGCAGTGAACAATGACAGCAATTGCTACTTTCACAAAGATGCCAGTGGGGATGGCAGAAAGTATACAAGTGCATACTGTGTTAGATGGTTATCAGTGATAAGAAGAAAAAAATAAAGCAGAGAGGGGGACAGAAATGTTGTGTAGGAATGAAGTAGGGTGAAATTTTAGATAGAGTGGCCAGGAAAGGCTTCAGTGAGGAGATGATTGTTGAGTAAAGTCCTAAAGGAAGAAAGGGAGCAAGGCATGCTGTTAATTATCTGAAAAGAAAGCTTTCCAGGCAGAGAAATAGCAAGTGCAAAGGTCCTGAGGTAAGGATGCGTCTTGTGTGTTAGAGGGATGGCAAGATGTCAGTAGAGCTAGAGGGTAAACGTGAGGAAGAGGATAATAGGCATTAAAATAAGAGAGGTTCAAATGTTGAACGGCCCTTTAACTCATCATAAGGACCTTGGCTTTTACTCAAAGACAGAGGGAAGCACTGAGTGAAGAGGGACCTGATTTTAAGTCACTTTCCACGTCTTTCTTCTTCTAATCCTTACAACAGGTAGAGGTAACTATTATTATCTCATTTTTTATAGAAGAGGAAATTGAGGCTTAGAGAGATTAATTTACTTGCCCAAGGTCATACCAGCAGTTATAAAGACAGCCAAGACCAAGCCCTCTTACCTACTTGACCCAAAAAAACTGTATTCTTTCCATTGCTGCGGAGGCTTGACTTTCTCACTGAGAAGTAGAGACTGGACTTCTTTGCCTTGAGTCACAGAATGCCCCAAGAATCCAAGGATCCAAGACAGAGGGCTCCACTTCAACCAGCAGCTAATTGTCAATCACCTGGTCCCTTGCTCATGTCTTTCTCTCTGACGAGATGGTGCTTCTGTCCATTTGAGAAATGATACCTGAAGAAGAGCACTTGTGCCTGCTGAGAACTGACTTTCATTATCTCTTGAGCCCATTACAGTCATAATGGCCTCATGTCTGAACTATTATCATAAGCCAAGCACTGTGTCAGGTACTGTGTTAGGCTGAAAAAAAGGGCCCCAAACGATATATGCACAAAATCCCCAGAATCTATGAATGCTGCCTTATTCGAGAAAAGGGTTTTGCTGATGTGATAAAGTCAAGGATCTTGAGATGAGTTTTCCTGGATCATCTAGCTGGGCCCTAAATCCAATGATGTGTCCTTGTAAGAAAAAGGCAGGGGGAGATTTGAGACATAAGAGAAGGTACACAGGAAGAAGGCCATGTGAAGACGGAAGCAGAGATTGGAGTGATGCTGCCACAAGCCAAGGAACGCCTGGAGCCACCAGAAGCTGGAAAAAGCAAGGAAGGATCCTCCCCTAGAGCCTTTGGAGGAAGTGTGGACCTGCTGACACTGATTCGGACTTCTGGTCTCCCCGGATATGAGAGACTAAGTTCCTATTGTTTTAAGCCACCATGTTTGTGGTAATTTGTTACAGCAGCCTTAGGAAAGTAATACAGGTATTTAATATATTGCTGCCAGATTATCTCATTTGATCTGTAAAGCAGGCCTTTTATTCCCATTTCACAATAAGGCAATTAGGATTAGCAAAGAATTGCTAGAAATGCCAGTTCCTGGCTCCCTACACATGTTTCCTTCTAAGAGGATTCTCTTCCTCCCCCAGAGCCATGGGCCTCTCCCCTGTGACTGGACACCTGAGTAGAGGGAGCCAAGGCATGGGATGGACTCAGCCCACCTGTCTCTCTCTCTCTCTCTAATCTGAACCCAGAGATTCTAGTTAGACAATACTGAACACTTGAATTGAAACAAGTCCCACTGGAGTCAGGGCCAAGTAAGTCAGCTCCCCAGAAAGGCAACGGCTCAAAGAACTTCAGCTTTGGAGGGCAGTGAGAAGCCATGGAAAAAGAAAAAAAAAGAACTCCCCTGGTGGTCCAGTGGTTAAGAATCCGCCTTCCAATGCAGGGGGCACGGGTTCGATCCCTGGTCGGGGAACTGAGATCCCACGTGCCATGGGGTAACTAAGTCCATGCAACGCAACTACTGAGCCCACGTGCTCGGTAACCCACGTGGCAACTAGAGAGAAGCCCGTGCGCCGCAACAAAGAGCCTGTGTGCAGCAACTAAGACCCGACACAGCCAAAAATAAATAAATAAATATTTTTTTAAAAAGGAAAAGGAAAAAACAAAAACAACAGTCCATGGAGAGACCTGGGAGAATGGAGCAGACTCAGAGAGAAGCAGATGCAAGACACTGCACAGCAAGCAAGTTGGAGACTAAGCTAAGGATTTCCTAGTTCCCATGAGGTCCAGCTCCACTCTGCCCTTCCTGGCTCCTTTTCCTCCCCACAGTAGGGTACAGCCTGGATTTTAGTCCCACCTCAGGCTGGGCTCCCCTGTCCAGGGTGCAGACTGCACAAACATACACAGCAGATTTGCTTTCTGCCCTTCACTTTCGTGAGATCCCCTATAGCCCCACTGTAATTTCCTTCTTAACTTCAGCTGGTTTCCCTGCGATTCTATTCTTTGCAACCAGCAATCCCTGACCAAGACAGAAGGGCAGCTTGCTCAAGGTCCCAGAGCTAATAAACAACAGAGTCAAGTGTGAAACCACGCCTGGCCAATTCCAAAGCCCAATTCTTCTTAACCCTACAGGGCTCATGATTCATGAGAAGGAGTTTGGGTTTTTCCTGAGGGTAATGGGAACCAATCTCAAAGTTGCTCACACTTTAGTCATTTATTGCTCACCACATGCCAGACACTGTTCTAAGTGATTCACGTGTTTTAAAACTCATAATTATTAAACTAAAAATGATTACTCACACATCAACTAAAACTACCCTTTATACCACTAATAGAATATATGCCATTTATTTGCAAGACCTACCAATTCACACTGCTTACTTCTCTCCCTCTGCTGAAAACAAAGATTTTAAAATATCTCAGTGCAAAATATCTAGTTTTTCTCCCATGAAACCAACCAAACAAATATACCAGCCATTGAGAGCCTTTTGTCATATACTTAGTGAAATCTTTGTCCTCGGGTTGAACATGCACAGATGATTTCTAAGCTTTGTTCTATTTGGATAAGAGAGAAATGGTCTGCTATAAATTGGAACTTCTGAAATGCTACTAAACTCCTAGTTATAAGGCCAGGGAAAATGATGTAAAGCGTATTTTAGATCTTAATCAGTTTCTCTGAGACTCCAGAGGGCAAAACCATAGAAACTAGAGAGCACGCACAGCATTGTTCCTTAAGTTTATTGAAATGTCTTTTCCATATACCTCCAAGCAAATTCTGTTGACCTAGGCCTATCTTTTCAGGCAACAAACAACTGCAAACCAGCATATCATTTTGATCCGGGCCTCAGCAGACGAGTTTAATTAGCTGCCCTTGCTCACAAAAGCCTGCCAGAATGCATGTGATACACATCTGCAACCTCACTAATATACATCATTCTTTATTTTTAAAATGCATGACATGCCCCCTCACACCTCTACGGCCCTCCCTCCCCGCCTCAAAATAAACAACCAGGATATCCTTTTAAAACAGATTCAGCTGTGGCATCAAAAAGAGAATGGTTAGAAGAATCTCCATGGTACCCTTTTCTTCTGGCAGAATAATCTCTTAGCTAAAAAGAAAAAGGGAAAAAAACAATAAACAAAAAACCTGCCGGCTAACTAAAGACTTCTTTTTAATGAACTGAAATCAAATTTTCCCAAACCAGTGCTTGACAGAAACTGTTCCACGTAATGCTGGAACAGTTTCTGTCAAGAAACAGATGCGGCATGAAAGAAAGCATTCTGCAATCAAGTCCAGGAAACAATGCACACCACAGCTCCCTCTTGGAGATTCTCATAGGACACAACACAGTAAAGGCTCCCAGTTCACAAGACACCTTCTTCACAGCACAGCCTACAGAACAATGATTTCCAGACACCAGTTTGGAAAATTCTGATCTAAATATTTCCCCAGGGCTCCCCTGGTGGGGCAGTGGTTAAGAATCTGCCTACCAATGCAGGGGACACAGGTTCAAGCCCTGGTCCGGGAAGATCCCACATGCTGCAGAGCAGCTAAGCACATGCACTGCAACTACTGAGCGTGCGCTCTAGAGCCCGCGAGCCACAACTACTGAGCCTGTGAGCCACAACTACTGAGCCTGTGTGCCACACTACTGAAGCCCATGCGCCTAGAGACTGTGCTCTGCAACAAGAGAAGCCACCGCAATGAGAAGCCTGCACACCACAACGAAGAGTAGCCCCCGCTCGCCGCAACTAGAGAAAGCCCGCACGCAGCAACGAAGACCCAACACAGCCAAAAATAAATTAAATAAATAAAATTTTAAAATAAATAAACAAATAAATGTTTCCCCAAATATGCGCAGGGACCAGAGAACTATTAGATGTCTCTCTGCAAACAGATGGATTTCCACATGCGTCACTCCTGTGTGTGTGTTCAATACAATGAAACACATATATGTTGGGTATCCACTGGGCATACATTTTCATTTTATTTTCCCATAATTTCAATCCTTCTCTAGGCCTACCATTTAGAAAACAAACCAGATTTTATCTTTCCAGTGATTCATAAAATCAATACTATTTAAGTGACATCAGAGTGTTTAAAGCATTTAAGTGCTTATGACTACAACAGCCTTTGAACTGGGCCTTCTGCTTCCATTCACTCCAGTCCCAATCCACTGGAGATGACTGGCTGGGCAGTGATCGTTCTGGAGCATGGATTTGGCCATACCACTTCTTTACTTAAAGCCCACCCCTATCTCCCCTCATGGCTTACCAGGCTCTGCAAGACCTAACCCCACTTTACTTGCTGCCTCCTTCTCTTGACGCTCGCCCCGTGCTTTACATTTTTACCGGGGTTTCTTAACCTGGAGTCCGTGGATGGAACCATGTGGATCTATGAACTCGAATGGGGAAAAATCAGCATCTTTATTTCCACTAACTAAACTTTAGCATTTCCTGTAATTATGAATGTAGGAAACAAACCCCAGTCATTTATCAGTACCTGTGACTCTGTGACTAGTGGAAATTATAAATATGTTCATATCACATGATGGTTGTTGCCACTATCTCAAACTATTGCTTCTCCTTCAGACTTCAAAATTACAGTAATTATTAGACCCATTGCTAGAGTTTGTCATCTGACATGTTCATAAAGAAGCCCATATGCTTCTATATCACAAATTCGATTTTTAAATATTTTGGTATCTTTATTTTATTTTATTTTTTTGCTTTATTTTTATTTATTTATTTATTTTATTTTGGGCTGCATTGGTTCTTCGTTGCTGCGTGCAGGCTTTTCTCTAGTTGTGGCAAGCGGGGGCTACTCTTCATTGTGATGTGCGGGCTTCTCATTGCGGTGGCTTCTCTTGTTGCACAGCACGGGCTCTATGTGAACGGGCTTCAGTAGTTGTGGCATGCGGGCTCAGTAGTTGTGGCTTGCAGGCTCTAGAGCGCAGGCTCAGTAGTTTTGGCTCAATGGCTTAGTTGCTCCATGGCATGTGGGCTCTTCCCAGACCGGGGCTCGAACCCATGTCCCCTGCATTAGCAGGCAGATTCTTAACAAATGTGCCACCAGGGAAGACTGATATCTGTATTTTAAAATGATGGGTTTTGGGCTTCTCTGGTGGCGCAGTTGTTGAGAGTCCGCCTGCCGACACAGGGGACACGGGTTCGTGCCCCGGTCCGGGAAGATCCCACGTGCCACGGAGCGGCTGGGCCCGTGAGCCATGGCCGCTGAGCCTGCACGTCCAGAGCCTGTGCTCTGAAAGGGGAGAGGCAAAAAAAGTGAGAGGCCCGAATACAAAAAAAAAAAAAAAAAAACAAATAAAATGATGGGTTTCCTTTATAATCCTATGTGTTTTATTTTAAGAATTTAAAACATTAATACAGCCATGGCTGAAAGAACTCCCACCATAGACAGACACTGACCTGAATTTCCGGTTTTCCATCAACGTATATAGTGTTGTTGTTGACCATTTCCACAATGGCAACTCCAAGGTTGCACCGAATCCCAAAGGAAATGCAGAATCCCAGCCCGCTCATGATGGCAATGATGTAGCGCTTGGGGAGGCCACAGCAGTGGCAGTCACAGAGTGGGGGGCTCTGCTTGGATGTCTGCACTGGCCTTCCTTCTTCATTCAGCTCAATGTTACCTTCTTCCTCACTGGTCCCATCGATTTTCCTACAGTGGAAAAAGAGAGAAAGACCAGGATTACAGAAAAAAACAAAGTGTAGTACAAAAAAAGAAAAAGTGTACCAAGAAAGAAAATAGGAAACCTAGAGTAGGATGCAGCCTGCATTTTTTAACATCATCATCATCATTATTACTAAAATAAATTATAATGGCTAAAATTACTGATATTCTGGATATCATATTCCACCCTTATAGGCATTAAGTTGTTTTAATCTCATAACAACCACATGAGGTAGATCGTGTTATCTTGTCCTTTTCTACATGAGGAAGCTAAGTCATCTATGGTGGGATGCAAGCCCAAGTCCAGAGCTTGTGTCCTCAACAATATGCTTGGGACTTCCCTGGTGATGCAGTGGTTAAGAATCCGCCTGCCAATGCAGGGGACATGGGTTCAAGCCCTGGACCGGGAAGATCCCACATGCCGTGGAGCAACTAAGCCCGTGTGCCACAACTACTGAGCCTGTGCTCTAGAGCCCGTGCACCACAACTACTGAGCCTGAATGCCACAACTACTGAAGCCCACGCACCTACAGCCCGTGCTCAGCAACAAAGAGAAGCCACCACATTGAGAAGCTCGTGCACCACAACGAAGAGTAGCCCTCACTCACCACAACTAGAGAAAGCCCATGCACAGCAACGAAGACCCAACCCAGCCAAAAATAAATAAATAAAATAAATTTATTAAAATATATATATATGCTTTACTGAACTTCCTGCTGAGAGAGTATCCATAGACTTCATCCACATTGCATGACCCAGCTAACTATTATGTTTGACCTTAATTTTAATGTCACTTGAAGCTTTCTAAAAAGATATACAGTAGAAAATTAATGCAGATGTTTTTCTTTCTTCCTCTTTTTCTAAGTCTTAATAAAATACTAGATGGAGGTAGGGAGACACATTTTCTATCACAGCACACAACAAACTGGTTGTGTGTCCTTTCTTCCTTAAGTGGTTCTTCTAAGGAGGTGATTCTCTGACAATTTTTAACCAGATGGTAGGATTTCTCACTGAGTTCTATAAATTCAGATTATGGTATATCTATTACAGTAAATTTACTCTCTTCTTTAAAGAAAAGAGTAATTGGGCAAACTGAACACAATCTGTCAATTATAACAGGAGCTGTATGCATCCTCTCACATATTGTAACCCTTCTGAGGATGCCCAATTAAGTTCCAAGTCTTTGTAAAAATAAGCAAAGCTTATACGTTTTCCTGAGTATCATATTCACTAATAGCTAATACAGACCAGACTGAAACACAAATAATTTGCCCACCGATTCACAGAAGAGATAATCTTGGTAGCTTTTTATGACTCAAGCAAATGAGGTTAAAGCACATGTAGAGAGAAGCAAATGTACTGGATTTAATTCAGTTCATCAAATATTTATTGAGTGCCTACTGTGTGTCAGGCACTGTGCTGAACGTTAGGGAACAATAAAGAAGGGGACATGGTCTCTGCCCTTCTTCAGTTCTTAGGCTGTTTGGAAAGAAAGACACATACACAAGCAGCTATAATTGCTGGATGATGTAGGTTTTGTTGAAATCAAGGTGAAGAGCAATAGTAAAACAGGAAAAAGAGCTTTCATTTTCAATGTGTGAGCTCAGAGTGGTAGCTTAATAAATGTGCAAGAATATGGAAGTAATCAGAAGAGAACTTCAGCAACCTCCCTGTGTACCTATCTACCTACCTGTATTTATGCTAATTTGTTCTTCCTTTGTTCTATGGTTGTCCATGCTTCTAGCTAAGGCCAACCTCTCTCCCTGGGCACTAGATCTCATTGCCTCTCATCTACTCAAGGAAATTCCTACCCCATACTTAATCAATTATTTTTCCTCTCTACTAGATCATTATTATTGTCTACAAATATGCTCTTATTTGTCCCACATTAAAATTTGAAGTAAAAACACTTTCTCTTTCTGCTACTCCCCTATTTCTCACCTTCCTTTTATAAAAAAAAAAAAACTTGGAAGTCACTGTCTTCACTTCCCTTTGTCCCATTCTCTCTTGGACCCACTCCAACCAGGTATCCCCCAACCTGTCCACCAAAACTGTTCTTCTTAAGGTCATCAATGCCCTCTACGTGGCTCAAGCCAAAGGCTATTTTCAGTCCTCATCTATTCAACCTATCAGCATCACTTGACACTACTGATTATTCTTTCTTCCTTGACTACTTTGTTTCCTTCACAGAAACCACACTCACTTGGTGCTCCTCCTAATTCCCTGAACACTCCTTCTGTTTTATCCCTTAAGCTGATTCCCTACTTCCTCAACCTGTAAACACTTGGATACCCAGGACTCAGTTCATAGATCTCTTTTGTTTTCTATCTATACTTTCTGCCTCTGGGCTACAGATACCATGCATATGCTGACAGATCCCAATTTTCATATCTAGACTTATTTGATATTTTCTTGGATACACGATCAGCATCTCAAACTTAACATATCCAAACTGAGTTCCCCTAAAAGAAATTAATTCCTGAAGTCTTTCCCATCCCAGGTAATGACAAGTTTGTTCCTTTGGTTGCTCAGGCAAAAAACTTGGTGACATCCTGGATGCATTTCTTCTCCAATCTATGTCCAGTCTAGGAACCAGTGTCCCTTAGTTTTAATTTTTACTCTTCTTTTTACTTAGCTGTGTGACTTTGGTCTAGTTAACCTCTCTGGGCTGCAGTTTTCTCATCTGTAACCTGAGAATTATAATAATAGTTTCTTCTTCATGGGATTGTTCTTAGGATTGCCATAAGTGAATTATTATATTAGATCATTTAGAACAGAACTTGACACATGTGAAAACCCAATATATGCCAGCTATTTTTATTACATTAATCCTCATAACCATTCAATGAGTCCACTCTGCTGGGCTGAGCATTAATGCCATTTATTGCCATTTATATTGATGTCTAAGAGTTATTTGGATCATAAAACTGTTTATAATGTGCAGCCCCAGTGGTCATCACGAATTTCTGGCATCAGAACATATATAATTTGAATAGCATGGAAAACTGATGATCTAATATAGATACGTTATTATAATAATATTAATATTCACTAGAACATGGATAATATATAACAACTACACTAATGTTTGTATGAAGCAAATTCAGTTCTTTCCCTCTGCCCTTTCCTCTCCCTGCACTTTCATATAATGATCTTATTCTATGGTTAGAACAGCTCAGTGAGACAGGAAATCTAATGCTTCCATTTGACACAAATTATAACTGTAGTTCAGAAAGCAAGAGTGGATTGGCCAAGACCACAGAGCCAGTAAAGGGTAGGGGCAAGATGTGAAGCCTTTCTCCTGCCTGTCCAGCCAAGTTCCCTTTCATGTGAGTTTCCCAGCTCACCAGGCTGTGTTCTGTCTCCGTGATCTTCCTGAGTCACCTTGTCATCTCTTACTTTGTAGCCCAGTCACCATGGATGAGCCAGTAGAGGAGAATACTTAAGAGAAAGGGCTCTGGAATGAGAGAAGCTGAATGCTGTTTCACCCATGTGCCAGTTTCGTGACTTTGGCTCTAAGTTACTTGACCACTTTAAGCCACAATATTCTGGTATTAGTTTGCCAGAGCTGCCATATCAAAGTACCACAGACTGAGAGGTTTAAACAACAAAACTTTATTTTCTCACTGTTCTGGAGGCCAGAAGTCCAAGATTAGGGTATTGCCAAGCTTCCTTCTGAAGCTTCATTCCTTGGCTTGTAGATGTCTGTCTTCTCCTTGTATCTTCACATCATCTTCCCTCTGTGTATATCTGTGTCCCTCTGTGTCCAAATTTCCTCTTCTTATAAGGACACCAGTCACATGGGTTAGGGTCCAAACTAATTATCTCATTTTAATGTAATTGTCTCTTTAAAGGCCCTATCTCCAAATACATATTCCTCACCAGGGATTAGATGAAGGCTGGGGGCTGCAATTACTGGGATACTACAAATTTCATCTGCTGATGTTTTTATATATATGGTAAGAACTTATTTACTGTGTAGTGTGTTTAAACATTTAAGTTTTATGGGCTAGTTCCTCCCTTAGAAGCTGACTATTCAACTTGTTCACTTTTTCCTTTTTTATAATAATTATCAGGTTATAAAAATAAGTTTATACTTTTGTGTTTTATCTGAAAGTAAGAAGCAGAAAAACTGCCTATAATTGCATAACATGGAGATAAGTATCAATACTTCAGTGTAATTCCTTCCTATCTTTATTAAAAATAAATAAACTGTTTTCCAACATACACACACAAAAAAAGTACCAGGAATTAGGACTTCAACATACAAATTTGGAGGGGGCACAATTCAGTTCATAACAATCACCATCTCTAAAATGGGCTAATGATCATAGCTATGTCGTAAGGTTGTTTTAATGATTAAATGATATGATGCATGTAAATTATTTAGTGCAGTGCCTGGTACATAAAAGAGCTTTCTATTAATACATGGTGAGTAGTAGTATTATTGCTATTAATAAAATTGTTGCCACTCACAAGCTTAGCATCTCTCTATATGCATGCAGATGCTTTGGATGAAAAGTAACACACACTAACATTCTCAGGCACTGTGGGGTCTTGAGGAGCTTAATTGAAGACAGACCCAGCTGCTGTGCTCTGAGTGCACCAGGGCTTTGGCTCGAGGACCACACTGTCACAGGCTGCTCTCCAGCAAGCACGGAGCACAGCAGTGATTTAAGGCAGACCCTTTCCTGCAAGAGGCAGGACTCCCCAGTGGCCTTGCCAAAACTTCCTAGTACTGTGGTAGAGTCCGAGACTCTTCCTACCTAAGCTTTCTTCTTTCCCTCTCTCTTATGCATAGTGTGGTGGTCTGAATGCTCTCCCAGGCTCCCATAGCTCCTTCCCCTTTTCCCTCAATAAATCTCTTGTGCATCTATTCCAGTTTTAGCATCTGCTTCTTAGAGGACCTGAACCAACACAAGCACCCTCTGAGTGCATGGTGCCACCTGGGATGTCCTAAGAGCTTCCAGAGGGAGGACACAACAGCA